CAGCCAATGCCAGCTGGCGACCCCCTGGGGGAGATCCTTCTCTGTTGCTGCTCCGGCCCTATGGAACGAGCTCCCAATGGAGATCCGGACCCTTACTACCCTCCCGGCCTTCCGTAAAGGTACTAAGTCCTGGCTGTTCCGGCAGGCTGGGGGCTGTTAAAGCACCCAGCCCCGTTTTAATTGTGACTGTTGTGGATTTTTTAAAATATTGTTTGTACTCTCTTATTTATTCCCTTCCCCCTGTTTATTGTGAGCCGCCCGGAGTCCTTTGGGAATGGGCGGCATACAAAACCAATAAACCTAAACCTAAACCTAACCATTGTCTTCCACAATGATTCCCTCTGCCCAATCCTGCCTAAAGTCTGATTACTTAAAGTTGTAACCAGGCCTAATGTTGTTTAGCTTAGACAAAGATGGTTAAATGCAATTAAGCTGCTTGTCCTACTAAACACGTGTCAGTAGTTTAATTAATTGCTAATTACAACTACCATCTTTTTCAGTTAGTGAGGCTACAAGCTGCTATCCTAGTCAGAGAATGATAAATCTGTTGCCCAGCAGAGTAGTAAGGAGAATACATTAATTTTGTTCTCCAACATTGTGCTTCATTGTATTCAGTTCAGGACTTTGGCCTTCTGAAATATGAAACTTCCAGTGCTTTTCAAAATTGTTAAATAGGATGAATTGCCTTCTTCAGCCTGTGTTTTCTATTTGTGTCGTAACTGGGGACTGTAGTGGTTGTGACATCAGAAGTATAAAAAGATAAAGGTAAAGGTTCCCCTTGCACATATTTGCTAGTTGTTCCCAACTCTAGGGGGCGGTGCTCATCTCCATTTCAAAGCTAAAGAGCCACTGCTGTCCGAAGATGTCTCTGTGGTCATGTGGCAGGCATGACTAAATGCCGAAGACACATGGAACGCTGTTACGTTCCCACCAAAGTTAGTTCCTATTTTTCAATTTGCATTTTACATGCTTTCGAACTGCTAGGTTAGCAGAAGCTGGGACAAGTAACGTGAGCTCACTTCGGGCGCTAGGGATTTGAACCGCCGAACGGCCAACCTTTCTGATCGATAAGCTGTCTTAGCCACTGAGCCACCATGTCCCTCATTGGTACTAATTTTTATATGATTTATAGAAGGGGAATTAAGGCATAAGATGGGGTCTGCACCCAATTTTGTTCCCAATAGTAAACATTGGCTGTTGATTTTTTTTTGGGGGGGGGGGAGATTTAACCTCTAAATGGCCTAGGCTTACCTACCTGAATGTATAAATTCCTTGTATATTGTGAATCAGTCAATATATAACTGTCCTTTTTAGTACATCTTCTGTACTTGCTTCTTGCTTCTTGAAAGGCAGTATTAGGATATATTTCCAAAATGGTCAAGTATTTACTTCTATCTTAATCAACAGTTAATATCATTCTACAGGTAGTTCCCAATTTACTATTGGTCACTTAATGACCGCTTAAAATTATGACAAACCCTGAAAAAGCTAATTACAATCCAGATTTGAAGTTCTGACCACCTCCCCACCCCACAGTCATGTGACTGCATATTGGGCAGTCAGTAACCAGCCCACATTTACAGCTATTTGCAGTCATGTGACTATTTGCAATGTTTTTGTAGGAAACTGGCATTTAATTCCAATTTTGGACATAAAACAAAAAGTGAACAATGGGTTCACTTAATGACTGTGGCATTTGCTTTACAACCACATTTAATGATCACCTAAAAGATAGTAAGATTGGTCACAGTCATGTGATTATCTGTAATGATCCTCATTACTTACAACCAAAATTGTGGGTTCCCGAGCTTTAATATCAAATGATTCGAGTGACATGTGGCGGGTCTGAGCGATGCAAGAATCTTGTCCATAACCTCAGATGTCAGAAACTGATCTAAAAAAAATATACAGGTGCTTTTGACATCTTCAAATATTATTTTAATTATGGCACATGTTCCGTACAGGTACGGTTTTCTCCTTTGAATTTTTTCATAAAAAGTAGTGGAGAGTTCAAGAACTCTTACTACCATATCATATATGCAGCATCATTTTTTACACTTGGTTAAATTTGCTTTCAGGTTTATACTATTGGTGTTCTAGCTGCCTTATGGTTTATGCTTTGAGAAGCTCTAAGCAATTAGATAGCACTTCAACCTTCATATGAGAAGGGGGTCTTTAGCAGTGATTATGTTGATAACTCTTCCCATTTTTTTTCTATGGAAAGAAAGTGCATTATGGTCCTTGGTTTTGGGAAAGTTCTTTTGCAGCAGTACAGATAGTCTTTGAATATTCAGTGGGATTAATTATATATTAATTCAAATAGATACTTGGGAGAGTGGCATAGGATCCATGCTTCTTGCAGAATGCCAGACTGCAGAATCTAAAATATGTGTGTCTATACCAATTGCTTGTGTTTTTCCTAGAATGGTGCTGCTTTGATTTTATGTCTTTGCAGATAATTACTTTAATGTTAGTTCATTTGCAGTTGGGGTTTATATGAATCTTATGTAAAATGCATAGGTGAGTCACCATGTATGAGTTGCGTGCCATATTTAATAAACAAATAAATAAAACTTTAAGTAGTGGCTCAGTCAATATCAGACTTTCATGTTGCATTAAAGTGATTTGGACAACCAGAATTTAGAAAAATATGAAAATTTATGAAAGTATTAAGGTTCATATGAATATAATGATGAATTCACACTTTCCAGTCTTTGATCAATACAGAAGAGATAGGACTAGCTCTCAGCCATAAGAGAGCAGTTTTGTAAGTTTATTGTTGTTTCTATATAGCAGGTGTTCTAAATATATTAGTAATGTCAGGATAATATCACTTTTTTAAATAACAACTAATGAGTTCTGAAGCATATCAACTAGTTGTACAATTACAAGTAGTCCTCGACTTATGACCACAATTGAGCCCAAAATTTCTGTTGCTAAGAGACAGTTGTTAAATGAGTTTTGCTTCATTTTAATACATTTCTTGTTGCAGTTGTTAAGTGAATCCCTGCAGTTAAGTTAGGCACAGTTGTTAAGTGACTCTGGTTTCCCCATTGACTTTGTTTGTCAGAAGGTTGCAGAAGGTCATCAGATGATGTGGGACTATGCAACTGTTAAAAGATATGATTCAGTTGCCAAGCTTAAATTTTGATCACATGACCATTGGGATGCTGCAATAATCATGTGTGAAAAATGGTCATGTCACTTTTCTCACTGCTGTTGTAACTTTGAACAGTCACTAAATGAACTGTTTTAAGTTGAGGTTTACTTGTATTTTGCAAATATATAATTAACTCAATAAACCTTAGTTAATTTCAGAGCTATAACAATTTATTCCCTAATACTATTAAAAAAAAAAATTCTGTTCTGTAAATCAAACTATAATATCCAATACCCCTCATAAGCATGCATGGTGGTTATTCCAAGTGGATTAGAAAAAGGATATAATCTAGTTGGGATACTGGGCAATTTTCTTGACAATTAGTAATAATTACAGATTGGGATTTTATTATAAACTAAGTGGTAATTAGTTTTAAGACAAATCTAATACCACTGTGTTTGAAGCCCTTTATCCTATGTAAGATTGAAAGTGTGTGTTTTCCTTTATATATTGAATGTCTCTTAAAAACTAAAGTTGTTACCAATGAACACAATACCATTTTCACAATGACTGTTAATTGCTTGAAGCATTAACATAGTCATCTTTATTCACTACTTTGAATTTCAGATCCTGAGATCAATCCTTTTTGGTATATGGAGTTCGACCAATTGGGTCGATTTGGGAAGAGGCAACTCAAGTTTGAACAAAAGAGGTTGAGGACTGTGTGTTGCAGTTCAGTTCTGATACTCAGTGCTCTACAGGAACAGAAAGCAGCACAATTTGATTAATTGTTACTTTGAGTCTTCTTAATGGAAAGAAAAAAATGTAGTTGCTTTTCTCTGTTGAAATACCACCTCCTTTCTCTTGGCTTCTTAGCTGCCTGCATATTGCATACACAAATAATAAGCATTTAATTTCAAAACTTTGTAATTAAAACTAAAAAGATATTCTATTTCTAACCTATGTAACTAATTGGAGTAGGAGGAAAGAAATAAAAAGCATTTTTGCTTGTTAAGGATATGATCCAATTTCAAGAATCTTGTGAACTATACTTCTCTGGACATTAGCAATGGCAAATGCATACCTGGCAAATGGATGGGTTGCATGCAGTACTCAGTACCCTATTTGGGTACTGAGGGAAACATGGATTCAGTCCAACCTCTTAATGCGTCAACCTGGTGGTTGACTATAATTACCATTTAAAATGGATTATGAGTTCAATATATATAAGAAGGAGCACATAATAAAATATTAGTTTAATAAGATTTAACTTTAGAGAACCCATTTGTTTATACAATATAAGACCACAGTTGTAACTCATATTAATTTGGAAAATCTCCCAGTGATTATAGCTCATTTTAAAAATTATTGGAAAAAGTTATAGATAATATATGATATGATTTGTTTTATGCTTAAGTTTGTAATTAAAAATGAAATAAACAAACCTGATAAAATAGTCACTAATGTGATATTTTTATTTGTTTTAGACTTGTTACAAGTATTGACAGATAAAGCAAGATGACCTCTGAAGTAACAGAGTTTAGGTACAGATTCATTCTGTATACAAACTTTACAGAAATTTAATAAAGAAATAAGTGGGAATGAACAACATGACATGTTTGAAAAGTAGGATCTAAAAGCAAACCAGCTTATTGTTTAATTCTACTCAACATGACAATTGATAGCAGTTTCATGGTTCTAGCAAAGTAGGAAACAAGTTCCTCTTACATATAAGAACCCAAATACTAAATACCATTGACAAGAAATTTATACCAGATGGTCTTTCCAAACTCTGATGTAAGAACCAGAAACTTTTTTGCCTCAAAATAAAACTTAAAATGCTTGGCAAACCAGCTAATCTTCTTAAGTATCCCTTTGACTGAGATGTTCTATTTTTGGATAAACAAGTTGTTCATGTTGGGAAAGTTCCCAAGAAAAATCATGGATTACAGTCAATTTGAGGGAGCTTCAGTTAGTTGAGTACCTTAACTTTTATGCAGCATGTTTTACACTCTTCAAACAGATTGCTCAGTTTCTTATTTGCAACCTTTTCATCATGTATTGCATTGGACAGTGTAGAAAGAATACATGGGGAAAAATCAAGCTTTCACTACATCAATCTGCAGCCTAAATATGATTGATATGATTTTGTAGATCGTTGGTAAGAACTATCAGGATTTTTTTTGGGGGGGGCGCACAATGAATGGGTAAAATACTCTGGTATATATCTGAAAATGTTCCTATGTTAATATGGTCATCCAACATATGTATGAAGGAATAGGTATATAGAATGGATACATAGGATAATTAAATCTTTAGGTAAGTCTAATAAATTATTTATATTTCTAAACACTGAGCACTGAATCAGAAAATATGTAAATATCATGGGCTCAATAACCTGTTTTTCATTAATCTTTTAACATTTCTATTGACAAGAATTTCTGACAAGAATGCAGATAACAAGGCAAGCATTAACTTCAACTCAGACTAAATCATACTGTCATAATTTGTTCTGACATTAAAATATATTTCTTTATAAAAAAGAAAAATATAAACATTAATACTTTTGAGGATTGAAGCTAGGTCATGACAGAATAATTATTTTATATTGTAACATACACATTTTATGATTTCTTTTAAACAATAAGATAATTCTTTGCACATTGGCACAAGTAAAGTTTGTAACAACCGAATAATATACATTGAGGGAGGGATTTTCCCCCCTCTTTTTTTTTGGAATGCCTAAACAGGAAACATTTTTTTCAGAAAAGACTGAATAATATAAATTTTAAACACAGTAGTTGCTTTTCATGCCTCTTATGGAAAACATTCTATTCCATACTCATTTTGTTTATATCACATTAATAGAAAAGGGCCAATATATTATCTATTAAAATTAGTCATGTTGGATTCAACATTACATACACAATATTAGCTATAAGTGTAATTGGACAAATATGTAAACCATCTGCCATTTCATTCAATTAACATAGATCTGCAGAAATTAGGAGTCAATCTTGCACAAACACTGAAAAAAGTGTGGATTGAAATTGAGTAATTTACAAATAGTATAGGAGCCTAATTTTACTGAGGAACATTTACTAGATTATACATATATGGATATCTCTATATTGTAGACAAAATCCTGCCATCATATTTCTTGTCCCACAAAAGACAAATAAAAGTTGCATGCCTGTACATGACATAATTTTGTCTGAGAAAAAGAAAAACCAAACAACCAAATATCAATAGAAATTTTAGAGAAGCAACAAGGAATGCACAATAAAATTAATGGAACTATCATTGGTGCAGTTCTATAGTTGTATAATAATGTCCTAGGCTTGTTGTAGTCAGAAATAGCTCCTATTAAAACCAGCAGGGCCAATTTCTAGACATTTAGTACTGCAGACCAAATCTCTTTTTAAAGACATTTCAAAAGTGGTGAAGATTTGGATTTTTCCTAGTTAATTCATGCTTTCTGGGTGAAATGAATGGTGTTTTAAAGTGTTAATTGCTGTACTATTCATATAAGTTCTTATGAAAATAGAGCACAAGAGTGCAAATAGGTAGACATCATGACTGACTCTAAAGCTATATATGGAAGCTAATTCTTTGTATGCTTTCAGGCAAAATTTAATTTATTATTTCTTGTTTTAAAATTTCCAATAGGCTCAATTCTGTTGTCTAGATTTTCGGCGTGACCCGACAAATGCACGCATGACAAAAGCGCGCTGACAAAACCGCAGTGTGAAAACCGTGATGTCATCAACGCGCTGACAACAGCGCGCCGACAGAAGCATGATTTAAGTTAAGGTAAGGGTTAGGGTCAGGGTCAGGTTTAGGTTTAGGGTTAGGGTTAGGTTTAGGGCAGGGGTGGGTTTCAAAAATTGTTCGAACCTACTCTGTGGGCGTGGCCTCCTTTGTGGGAGTGGCTTGCTGCCCATTTGACCGGATGGGAGTGGCTTGCCACCCATGTGACCGGNGCCACCACCACCCCCGCCCCTGCCCTGGGCTATCGGCTGGTGAAATGCCCAGAAACCTGGTGGGCATAATTCAGTAAGGGGAACATCCCCCTCATGGCACAATCTGGTCTCCGTAATCCGTTTCAAGAGTCTTTACTTTCTCAAGTTAGGAGAGGAGCCATTACTATAATTGTGACTATACTTTTCCTCACCTGGCTTGTCTGGTGATCACGTCTTCTTGTCAAATGAGCATATGGAGCCACATTCAAGCCTGCTATTGAAAGGGCTGAAATTCTGCTCTCAATATCTGAAATCTTAAAAGAACTATACATTTTAAAAAGAGAATCAAAATAAGTGAAGAAGAAGTGCAGATTACTGAACTGTACATCTCTAACTGGCACCTACTTGAAAATCATTTAAATTCCATTTTCTTTTTCTTTCTGGAGTCTTAATATTACCCAGTAATATTTATCTATATAAAGCATATATTTTTCCTTTACATATATATCTATGAACAATGGATTTATATTTGGAGTTTAAGTATAAAACATATGTAAGTTATTAAGTCCATGCAGTGAATAGCTTGTTGTCAATATTACCTGAAGCTCTGCATGATGAACTTGTGCTGCAGCTGTTGCCACTTGGTCCTCTAGATCAGCTAGTTCGGCTTCTGCAGTAATGGTGTTAATTTTATGAGCTGCATCCTCAAGTTCATTTAGCTGACTCTCCAGGCCATACACACTGCCAGCTGCCAGATAGACCTAAATAGACCATGTACAACGATCAAGTTATACCTTCAGATTTATGGAATCTTATAAAGCATTACAGTTTTAAGTTCCAACTCACATATTATTTAATTACCTTTAACGAGGTGCTGTATAAAATATGACCATCCTACTTATATGTTGATCATTTTAAATATTGGAACACAAGATTAGAATATTATGAAAAAAGGGGACAAAGCAAAGAATATTGCTTCTAGATAAATAAAAGAGAAAGCAGAGATTTAATGTGAAATGGTTCCAAATGAACACATGAAGAAAGGAAAAGGATAAATGGAGAAAAGTTATACAGGAATCAAGAAATTAATAAACCTGGTATATAATCTGTGAGGGATTTTCAATTTGTAAATAGAGAAACAAAATTTCAATTTCAATTTAATTTCAATTTATTGAGTTTGTATGCCGCCCTATTCCCGAGAGACNATTTAATTAAAAAAAAAAAAGAACTGAAGAAGCTTCTTGGAAGAGAAGCAAAATATCTTCAAGGGAAAAAAAAAAAAAGAAATTGGAAATCTATCTTAGTGTTTCAAGCTGGATCAAATAGTATCTAAAGAAATCAGATAAGTTACATTAACAAAGATGCACTTTCAGAGAGAAATAAAAATGTGTTTTAAAAATTGATTTATTTGTTTGTTTTTTGATAATTGAATTTGAGAAATGCAGTGTGGTGTTATGTTGGGAAGAGAATATATAGACCAATGTTTTGCACTAATACAGGTAGTCCTCGAGTTACGAATGTAATGGAATTCAATTCATAACCCCAGGATTTGTGGGAGTGAATCTTGTACCTTGAACAGGATCACTCTCCTCCTTTCGCCCACACATTCGCTAATCAAATGTGAGGCTTGTTAAGTGCCCTTGAGGTATTTCACGGTGGGGCCTAGTGGTGGACTGTTCCCCACCCTGGCCTTGGGTGGTTTCCCTGACCTATTGAAATAGCTGATGCAGCCCACAATTGCTATCCCTTCACCCAACCTGCTGTGCCATTTAACTTGTGAAGATCTAGCAAGCAGTTCCTCTCCAGCCTCTCAGTCGCATGTGCCCCTCTGCATTTCAGCCTGCAACATGCCAGGGCAGGCCAGCAGAGGCCTGAATGGAGCATTGGAGAGGCAGATCCACCTTCCATAAGCTCCATTTCGGACTGCAATGGGCTGGGGAAGACCAGCTGAGGCATGGAACATTGAAGGGGCAGATTTGCCCCTCACAAGCTCCATTTCAGCTGGCAACCTGCCGAGTGAGGCCTGCAGAGGCCCGAACGGAACTGCAGCGGGACGCATGGGGCTGAGAGGCTGGAGAGGAGACTATTTGCTAGATCTTCACCAGGTAAGTGATCTGGCATGGCAGTTTGGGTGGGTGGGTGGAAGTGTGGGGAGCATGAGGTCCAAACAGAGCTTCTGAGGGGCGGATCTGCACCTCAGAATTTCTATTTTGGCCTGCAACATGCTGGCGAGGTCTCTAAAGGCCCAAATTGAGGGGCAAAGGTGTGGATCCATCCCTTGGAAGCTCTATTTTGGCTGGCAACATTCAGGACAAATGTTGCAGAGTCTTTGCAGTTGTTCATAAGGTGCTGTAAGATTCATAGTTTCGAGACTTGCTTGCAAACACTAGGTTCACTTATCGTACTTTGAACGTTTGTTAAGGGAACACTTGTAGCCTGGGAATTACCTGTATGGGGTTGAAGGCTGATATTATTTGGTCAGTAGTAGCAGTATATGATGGAAATAAATCATGCGTGAAAATAAATGTAATGCTTCATGAATGTTTTTATAGAGGAAAGGGAAAAAGACAAATTAAATCCAAAATTTTGTTGTGGTGGTTGTTGAATAATGTACAAAGTTTCTTGAATTAATACTTTCCCTCTCCTGATAGTCTAGAGAAAATAGGAATTTCTAGTTCTTTATTCCATTGCCTATCAAATAGATTTATCTTCAATACAAAGATTACAAAAATTAATTGTAGGGAGTTTTATGTCATAACATTTAAGAATCATTTGTAGTAGATTAAATGAAAATGCTGCAGATCCAGCTGCAATATCAATAGATGTTTTAATTGTAAATGCTGCTACTGAGCTGACCAAATAATATTTGCCTTTTAAAGTGATAAATGGGTTTTTAAATCATCATTAGTTAATAATTGATCCCACATACAAATTCTAGCTCTCATTCAATTTTTCCATATAATTCATTTTTTTTAAAAATTAATTTTGAGATCTGGATTTTACATAGCATTAATTTTCTACGAGGAAAACTGCCTCACTAAATGATATTTCCTAAAATAACATCGCACTTTTTTCCAAGTTATGTAATAGAAATTTGAACATTTGAAATCTAATTAGTTTTCATCCTAAGACACCAGTTAATTAAAGGTTTAATATATGAATATTGTAGAAGAACCCAAGGAGGAAAATTTCCAATAAGGAGGATTGCGCAAAACTGGGTATTATTTTACATAAAAAGATTTAGTTAAGATTAATAAAACAAGATTCCCCCTTTTAAATTAATAGTTACATCTTTTTGAAAGATTAAAAACCATATTGTATAAGGATTCCATAGAAAATGTATGGAACATTTTATTGCGTTTTCAAAAATGTTGTTAATGTATATGAGATTTCTGCACCAAATGTATATCAATGTACAAAACACATTCATTTAGCCAAAGGATAAGGTTTACAAACTGCAATTTATCAAGAGAAGAGATAGCCTTACATATTTTATTCGGGTTTAAAGTTATTTTTTGAGAAAATATATGGGTTAAAAACTCAAAGAAGGATAATATATTGATCTCCTATCCTTCTCAGTCTGCCTTGAAGAAGTATTTCGCAAACTAGACTGGGCAAAAAATGGAATAAAAATCAATAGTATTTATTTAAATCATTTAAGATTTGTTTTCGTCTCACAAGACTCAGAAGAGCTACAAAGACACATACATACAAGAGCTGCACAAAGCAGGAGAAGCATTTGGCTTAAAGATATACCTAAAAAAGAGCCAGGTTAAGTTTAATAAAGAAGAAAAATACTTTATATCTGGAGGAGAATTACACTTAGTAGATCATTACATACACTTTGGCCAACAGATCTCAATGGAAGGTGATACAATAAAGGAAATTGAATTGTGTGATTGGCAGGCATTCGGCAAGCTAACCATAATTTTCAAGAACTACCTCCCCCTATGCTTGAAGAGAAAAGTTTTTGATCATATACTAACATATGCTGGTGAAACACGGACCTTACAATTGATACAAAAGTTATGAGTAATGCAAAGAGCCACAGAAAGTTACATGTTTGGCATTTCAAGACAAAATATAAAGACCTGCATATGGATTAGAGAACAAACAAAAGTACATGAGAGTATATTAAAGAGAGTAAAAGAATTGAAATGGAAATGGGCTGAGTAAAAATGAGGTTTTTTTATCATTGTTGTTATTGTTACCTTTCATTGGTGGAGCTGGAAGCTTTCGTCTCTGCTGTCTGGATGTGTTTATTGTATGCATCTATAGGGGAAAAAATGCCTTTATTAATGACTATAGTTTAATCCAGAATATTTATCCCAAAATATTTATTTAGTGCATGTAGTTAAAATGCAGTAATTCAGTAAAGCCAAAGAGTCTTCAAATTAATTGCTATATTAATTTTAAAATATTTTGGTTTAAATAAAATATATGTTGGAAATCTTAGAGCATTTATATAGTTACAGTTTATTTAACTTTCTATTATTTTTTGTCAGCTTTAGTTTTTTTCTTCTTTTGTGTATATTCTGTGCATCCCCCAGGAAAAGAGTGGGAAATAAGCAGAGAGACTGGTAGACTTAAGTAGAAATATATTTCCCATTCTACATTGTTTGTATATTTTATTGGGGACTCATACACATTCAATTGTATAAGATTGCCAGGCATACAGAAATCCACTTTAATTCACAGGTGTCAGATCCCTAAAAGTGATACTGCCATTCAATTGGAAGGAGGGGAGCCTCGGACTAAAATCACTAGCATATCTGTGACAACTGAGTTTTACAACTTTACAACTGGTTTCCTGTCACCAGAAGACTGAAGGTCCCAGCATCTCTGGGGGGATGTTGATGAGAGCCATGTGGGATAACTTACTTTAATGTCTAACTAGAGATAGCCATGGGAACGTGTGTTTTATTGACTCTCAGGGCAGAAGAGTTAAGAAAATATCTTCACACTTGTGTATTGGTTAGTATCTGCATTCGGACAAAGGGGAGGGGTCATTATCAACTTAATCCCATTTGCATGGCCTAAAGGGTTTCAGATGCTGCTTTGCTTCTAATAGTTTCCATCCTGACTGATTAAAATTTCCTTTTGAAATAATCCGTTTCAAGAGTCTTTACTTTCTCAAGTTAGGAGAGGAACCATTACATAAAGCAGCATCTCTCTGCAAAGTGGTCAACCAGGAAAGAAACATTTTTACTCTACCGAGGGGACCCAGCAAACTATGTCTGAGCATAACAGCAAACAAGGGGGAACTGACTGCTGGAGGGAGATGGACACCCCTCCACAACTAGAGACCCGGTGGCAGTAGGTGGTCTCGCAGGTATCCTGGACCTAAGCCATGGAGTGCTTTAAAGGTCATAATTAGTACATTGAATCGCACTGGAAGGCAACCGGCAACCATTGCAGGCCGCCTAAAAGGGGCGCAACATGGGAGCATCTAGGTATCCCCATGATAATCCGCGCGGCCGCATTCTGGACCAGTTGAAGCCTCCGGGTGCTCTTCATGGGCAGCCCTGTGTAGAGAGCATTACAGTAATCCAGGCGAGAAAGGATGAGGGCATGAGTGACTGTGCACAGAGCATCCCGATCCAGGAAGGGCACAACTGACGTACAAGGCTAACCTGGTAAAAGGCCCCCCTGGTCACGGCCATCAGGTGTTCTTCTAAACTAAGCCGCATATCCAGGAAGACTCCCAGATTGCGGGCCCTCTCTGAGAGGGCTAAAATTTCTCCCCCATCATAATTGGTGGAACAAGACGAACAAATCGGGATGATGGAAACCACAGCCACTCAGTCTTGGAGGGATTGAGCCTGAGCCTGTTCCTCCCCATCCAGATCTGCACAGCCTCCAGGCATCGGGACATCACGCCGAGGGCATCATTTAGGTAGTTTTGGATAGAGATGAAAAGTTGGGTATCATCAGCATATTGATGATACCGTACCCCAAAACCATGGATGATCTCACCCAGTGATTTCATATATATGTTGAACAGGAGGGGTGAGAGAACCGACCTCTGGGGCACCCCACAAATGATGCACCTTGGGGTTGATTCCTGCCCTCCAGTCAACACAAACAGGTAGGAGGTAGGTAGGAGGAGAACCACCGTAAAACGGTGCCCCCCACTCCCAACCCCCTGAGTTGTCTTAGTAGGATACCATGGTCGATGGTATCAAAGGCCGCTGAGAAGTCAAGAAGTACCAAGATAGAGGAGTGACCCCTATCCCTGGCTCGCCAGAGATCATCGATCAGCACAACCAAAGCAGTTTCCGTGCT